TACTTAAGCTGAAATGGTGCCCTTCATCCCAAGGAAATAGTGCATGAGTTGCCCAGAGTAGTCACACCCCATTGGCCTGAGCTGAAGCAGCATATTTCCCCTTTGGGAACTGGTGCCCTGGATGAGCTGAGAACCTGCACATCCCAGGTCTGAGCTGACATAGTACTCTGTGTCCCAGGGAAACACACTGGCTGAGCTGAAACACTTCACTTCACATGCCAAACAACTCTATGACCTTACTTCCCTGGAGCTGGACTAACCCTTTAACATCTGAGCTGCTGAGTTAGTGCTCTCCCTGGGGAGTGAAGTCATCATTGTGCTGTTCATTTGCAGGGTCCAAATAATAGTTACATTTTGCTGTTCTAGGGTATTTGCTGCTGTTTCACCTGGCCTTAGAGGGTCTGGGATACTGCTAAACTCTGGCATTTCAAGGTCTAGAGTTACTTCTGTGAAGTACCTCATCTCCTGGGACCCTAGTTGCCCCTGAACTCTATTGCCTTAGGTTCTCAATTGCAGCTGTTCCCTGTTCCCTGTGCCCAAACCTCCAAAACCACTCTTCTTCCTTGGAGTTAGGCTAGTACTATCCTGCCTCCAGGATATCATCATAGCTATAATCTGGCCCTTGAGTTCAAGCAGCTAAGTGGTGTATTAAAGTAAAAGATCTTGGCTCTGTGGGTAGCCTAAATGTAAGAAAACCTGTACTTCAAGATCCAGATGCCATAATAGGTTCATGAGAGCCTAAGCCATGGACTCTGGGTCCACAGCCTCTCAACCACTTGCCCCTGGAACACAGTACTGCTTCAGCTAGTTGTAGGCCATGTCAAACCTGACAAGAGGGATCTCCAAAGTTAAGTCTACCTATTGTGGGGAAAAGGAAAATAAAAGGACTCCTAAAGCCCCAACACTGAAGACATCATAAACCTATGTTGCTGCTGCTATTGCCACAAACTTATACAGGTTAGGCCACTGAGGTATGCACAGTTATTGCTGTTATTGACTGAAAAAACTACATGGAGACTATGCTACTGCCCCTATAGAGAAATAGAGCCACCATATCCTTACCACTGGCACACAAAAACTCAACTGCAAGTGAAAGTCTTTCTCTGCAAAAGGCACTCTGGAAAGTTTGGAAGAAGCAGTTGTTACCCCAGAAGAAAAGACTTAAATGCAGGGACAAAAGAACATACACATACACACACACACACACACACACAAAACATGTAAATATGACACCACCAAAGGATAATAACTCTCTGTCTGGTAACAGACACTAATAAAAAGGAAATCAGTGAATTGCTGGAAATGGAATTCAAAATAATGATCTTAAAGAAACTCAATAAAAAAATATACAGAGAGATGATTCAATGAAACCAGAGAAACAATTCACAGTAAGACCAAGAAATTCAACAGAGGCAAAAATTATAAAACAAAACCAAAAAGGCATCTCACAGATGAATAATAATTCAGTAAATGAAAAAAAAAGATTGAAAGTTTTAATAGCAGACTTGATCAAGCAGAAGAATTTCTGAACTTGAAGATAGGTTGTTTGAAATATCCAGTTAGAGAAAATAAAAGAAATAAGAATGAAAAAGAGTAAAGAAAACCTACAAGATTTATAGGACACCATTTAGAAAAAAAAATTCATTTTAATTTATGTATTTACTTTTTTTAGAGACAGGTCACATTCTGTTGCTCAGAATGCCACTGAACTCTATTGCCTCATTGGTAACAGAGGCTCTCATAGAGGCAGTGGTGTAATCACACTTCACTGCAACTTCAGACTCCTGGGCTCAAGCAATTCTCCCAACTTAGCCTTCCCAGTAGTTAAGACCAAGCATGCACCACCACCACATCCAGCTAATTTTAAACTTTTTGGTAAAACCAAAGTCTTGCTTTGTTATCCAGGCTAGTCCCAAACTTCTGGCCTCAAGCAATAGTCTCACCTCTGACTCCTAAAACACTAGGACTATAGACATGAACCACTGTGCCTGGCTAACAAATGCTTATACCATAGGAGTTCTAGAAGGAGAAGAGAAGGGGAAAAGTATAGAATACCTAACTAATGAAATACCTATAATAACAAAAAACTTCCCAAGTCTGGGGAGAAATATGAACATCCATACCCAGGAAGCTCAAAGTTTCCCAAATAGATTCAACCAAAAATATCCTCCCCAAGGCATATTATAGTCAAATTGTCAAAAGCCAAAGCTAAAGACATAATTCGAAAAACAGTAAAAGAGAAGTGTCAAGTCAAATATAAAGAAATACTCATTATAATAATAGCAGATTTCTCTACGGAAACCTTACAGACAAGCAAAGAATGAGATGATATAATTGAAGTGCTGAAAGGAAAAACAATTTTCCAGCTCTAAATACTATGCCTATAAAGCTAGCCTTCAGAAATGAGAAATTCACAGATAAGCAAAAACTGAGGGAATTTATCACCAGTAGACTGGCCTTATAAGGAAATCCTACATTTGGAAGCAAAAACATGATAATTACTATTACAGTAACACAGAGAAGTATAAAATGTACTGGTACAACAGAAACATAAAGCATAAAGAGAAAAGAATCACAACTTACTGCAACAGAAAACCATTATACTGTAATGATAAACAATAAGAAAGGAAAAAGGATATACAAAATAACCAGAAAACAATAAAATGATAGCTATACATGCATATGTCCCTACCTATCAAAAATAACCTGCATGTAAATTGAATTAAATTCCTCAGACTGAATGAATAAAAAAAAAGTGACCCACCTATATGCTGCCTACAAGGAACTTACTTTATTGTAAAAACACATATAATTGAAAGTGAAGGGATAGGAAAAATAGTCCACACAAATAGAAACTAAAAGTGAGCAGAAGTAGCTATATTATATCAAATAAACAGATTTTAACTCTGTCTTAGAAAGAGACAAAGAAGTATGATAAAGGGATCAGTTCAGCAAGAAGATAAAACAATTGTAAATATATCTGCCCCTAACACTGGAGCACCTAGATATATAAAGCAAATATTATTAGACTAAAGGAAGATATAAACTTTAACACAATAATGGTTGGGGACTTTAACACCCCTCTCTCAACATTGGACAAATTATCTAGACATAAAATCAAAAAAGAAACATTGGACTTAAACTATACTTTAGACCAAATGAACCTAACATTTACAGAATATCTCATTCAACAGCTGCATAATAAACATTGTTTTTATCAGTACACGGAAGGCAGATTACATGTTATGCCACAAAACAATCTTTAACAAATCTAAAAGTATTGAAATCATATGAAGTACCTTTTCTGACCACAATGGAACAAAACCAGAAATCAACAACAAGAGGAACTTTCAAAATTGTATAAATATATGGAAATTTAGCAACATGCTTCTAAATAACCCATAATTTAATAAAGAAATTAAGAAGGAAATTTAAAAAAATTTTCTAAAACAAATGTTAATAGAAATACAATATACCAAAACCTGTGGGATACAATGAAAACATTATTAAGAGGGAAGTTTATAGCAATAAATGGCTACATTAATAAAGTAGAAAGATTTCAAATAAACAACCTAAGGATATATCTCAAGGAACTAGAAAAGAAAAAGCAAACCAAGTCTAAAATTAGTAGAAGAAAAGAAAAAATAAAGTGTAGAGCAGAAATAAATGAAACTGAGACTAAAAAAATACAAAGAAGAAATATGAAACAAAAAGTTGGTTTTTGAAAAGATAAAATTGACAAACCATTAGCTAGATTAACCAAGAAAAAAGAGAAAAGGCCCAAATAAACAAAATCAGAAATGAAAAAGAAAACATTACAACTGATACTACAGAAATACAAGGGATCACTAGAGATAGTTGCATGAACTAATTTTCCTAATTTGATCATTATGCATTGTATATATGTGTCAAAATTTCACATTGTACCCCATAATTAAGTATAATTATTGTGTATCAGCTAAAAATAATAAAAACAAAAAATTTAAAGAAAAAGGTCATTACTGAAAGAAAAATTGTCCAAGGAAGCTATTCAAGATGAAATTGGGTTAGATGAATTAGATCCTAACTGCTTGGGATCCCACCATTTCTTGTGATAGTCCTCAAAGTGGTAAGTTGCAAAGTGTGAGTCTGCAGATCACCAATATCAGAATTATCTGAGGTGCCTCATAAAAATGCAAATTTAAAGCTAAGGTCTTCATAAACTCCTTGGGTAATTCTTGTGTCCAATAAAATTGAGCCTGGATCCTCTAGTGAGTAGAAGATAAGATGAGTGTACTTTTTTTTTCTTGTTTGAGACAGAGTCTTACTCTGTCACCCTGGGTAGAGTTCTGTGTGGCATTATAGCTCACAGCAACCTCAAACTCTTGGGCTCAAGTAATCCTCTTGCCTTAGTCTTCCAAGTAGTTAGGACCACGGGTGCCTGTCACAACGCCTGGCTAGTTTTTCTATTTCTAATAGAGCTCAAGCAATCTACCTGCCTCACCCTCTCAGAGTGCTAGGATAACAGGCATGAGCCACCACGCCTGGCCCAGACTACAGTACTTTTTTTTTTTTGGAGACAGAGTCTCACTATGTCACCTTCAGTAGAGTGCCATAGTGTCACAGCCCACAGCAACCTCCAACTCTTGGGCTTAAGTGATTCTCTTGCCTCAGCCTCCCAAGTAGCTGGGACTACAGGTGCCCACCACAACGCCCAGCTATTTTTTGGTTGCAGTTGTAATTGTGGTTTGGCAGGCCCGGGCTGGGTTCGAACCTGCTAAGCTACGGGCACCGAGCCAGACTAGGGTACTTTCAAGGTCTCTCTTTGCTATAGTATTTGATGAAGTGAGAATGAAAAGATTGAACAATTAGATAATCTCTATTTTTACTGATTAAAACTACAAGAATGCGAATGGACATATAATGAATATCTACTAGTTTCCCCTATGTATTTCTAGAGCTAGAGATAAAAATAACATATCATAGGTGACCACTCATTACTATTTTCCCAATTTACTCACCCAAACCTTGATCAGGCAAGTGTCTTCTGAAATAATCAACTAAATACTCATCTGGGTCATTTGGCCTTTTATCTATAAAGAATAGTAAAAGATCACAGCACCATGAAAATAATTCATTGACTCATTTATACTTTGTGTTTTTCACTTTTTTCAAATGAAAAAGTGCTACTAAGTAATGTACCATAAGCAGTAGGTTAATTCAATGAAATTAATACAAGCAGTATTCAAATCTCACAAATTTTTGTTGTATAACAAAAATGTCCATAACTTTTGGGCCAGCAATTCCTGTTCTAGGAATTTATTATAATAAAATTATTAAAGGCCTGTGCCTGTGGCTCAAGGAGTAGGGCGCTGGCCCCATATACCAGGTGGCGTGTTCAAACCCAACCCTGGCCAAAAACTGAAAAAAAAAAAAAAAACCCACGAAAATTATTAAGAATGCAGACAGATAGTGAGTTATAAGGTTTTCACTGTTATTTACAATAAAAAAATTAGAACAAAAAAGTTTAGCAATGTGAATCTAATAGGTTCGCTAATAGAATGCAATACTTTGCTGCCATTTATTCACATGCAAAGAGGTTTATAATATACTGTAATTTAAAAAAGCTTTTAAAAAGTAGTTTACAAAATAACATGAAGATTATATGATATATAATTTAGAGTGTATGTAAATAGACATACGAATAGGTCCAAAATATATATTCTGAAATGTGATTTTTTACTTTCTTTTGCTAATCATTATTTCTAATTTTTGACCTTAAATTTTGAACAAAAGAATATATAAAAGTTACATATAAAAAGCAAGTGAATTGCTTGAGTGATCACAATCAGAAAGTATTGTTAATTTGTTTTTTGAGACTATAGTCTCCCTCTGTCACTCTGGGTAGAGTGCCATGGCATCACAGCTTGCAGCAACCTCAAATTCTTGGGCTCAAGCAATCCTCTTGTCTCAGCTTCCTGAGTGCTGGGGAGTGTAATGCACCACACAAACCACCTGTGGAATATCCCACCCCCACAGGCCTCCACTGTTTCCTTTCACTGAGTAGCTGGGACAACAGAAGACCACCACAACACCGAGCTAGTTTTCTATTTTTAGTAGAGGCAGGGTCTTGCTGTTGCTTAGGCTGGTCTGGAACTCCTGAGATTAGGTGATCTACCTGCCTTGGAGTCCCAGAGTGCTAAGAATACAAGTGTCCCACCTGGCCAAGAACAGTTAATTTAAGGTTTAAGTATATTAACCACCATAATTATAATGCTATCCTTCTCTGTCCTTGGTGTGGTTCTTACCTCCATTTTTATTTTTAATTATTATGCTATATCATAAATCAAATGGATATATACATGTTTACATATATATTTTTAAATTAGGCTACATCTAATCCTTTTGGGAAGCAGGTGTAGTATAAACATATAATAAATTAATACATTATATATGAAATTAATTATTTTAGACAAAATGCTGCATAAATTAGATGATTTTTTTCAAAGAACCTCAACTAAAGATAAGGTGATAGAAATCAAAGAAAATATACTGCAGATGCTAGAGAGTCAAAGATTCACATCAGCTTAGTGAGTTGCAATAAAAGCTAATAAATAGTCTATAACCTAATTTCTGGACTTATCCTCCAATTATGAAAGGAGAGGAAGAAGATAGTTTTCAAAATTTAAATCCCTGTATTCTGGGGAACAACCTTTCAAAACCTGGGGGATATTCCTCAAATACATAGACCTGTAATTGGCCACTTTGTCTGTGCCCCTTGGGAACCCTAAACTGATTACTGCCACTGCAGCTATAACACTGTGCTTAACTTGTTTACATGTTTTCTTTTCTGATTAAGAGATGAGCTCCTGCATGGAAGAAATGGTGTCATTTATATATGACATACTTCTTTAATATCCCTAGTACCAAGCACAGTGGCAACTCAAGGTTATGGTACCAAAAAGAAGAAAAGTTTGTTGAGTAAACAAATTAATTGTTTATGAGAAGGCAAAAGCAGAACATTACCTTTCACATCAGAAATGGACTCTTTCTGTTTTTGCAGTAAAATTCCTCTGTCATACACCTAATGGAACACAGAATCAGAAATAAAACAGTACTATGTTATCAACACAAACGCAAGGTGTATTTCCTATATTTATGATATGGTGGGTTCTCAACAAACAGTTCTCATTTTATTCAAATGCTTAAGGATGATTGATTTAATCCAGGGATAAATTATTTGGATCCTGACAGCTAGGGATAGTATTTTCATTATCCTTCATTTGTGTTTAACAAGTCTATTTCCTTTTTTTTTTTTTTTTACAAGTCTATTTCCTAACTAGAAAATTCTGTTGAACTCTGAGTTTTTCCTCTCACCACCTCTTCCAGGGCTTATTATTTGCTTATTTGTTTAGTGACTGGATGGATTTTTTTTAGTGACACTCATTTCCCATCTGCATTGCTAAGCCTCTGATGCTGGTGCTCAGGATTCGGACCTGGGTTTGTCCACAGACATCCTGGGAGAGAGTGGTCTAGACAGAGCTCTTTGTCTCTTTCCTAGACCTCACCCACTATCAAAGGCCACTAATTTCTGGATGATGGCTCTAGCATCTTCAGTAATGCCCTGGGGCATAACTTGCTCTTTAGGCTAATCAAATTCAGGCTCCTTTGAAAGGGTAGCTCAGAACATCAGTGTTTAAGATGTATTCTAATTCCAGTAGGGCTCCTCCAAGCTCTTTCCCTAGTTCTCTCCTGCAAACTAGCCACTATACGTTTAGTGTATTCCTCCGATGAATCCACCAACTACCTTCCAATTATGTATTTTGACATACTTGCACTGGTTTTGAGAATGCCCTTGAGCTTAAACTTCTCCATGCTCTATTGCAAATGAAATCAGTTCTCCTGGGTAGAGATTAGGAGCTGTCTGTTTTATGGCCTGTTTTTTCCCTCAAGGCAGAATTTTCAAACCTGGCTCATGAGCTGGGGTTAGGGACAGGGGAACTCATCTCTCTGAGTGATACACCCTTCAGGAGATAAGCTGTAGGTAGAAGCAGATGAAGGTCTTCTCCACTTTCCTTTCCCAGGGGTGGAATCACCAATTTATAAGCCAAGGCAAGTGTGATCAGAACCCAATTGTTCTCAGTGGTGCAGCACCGAGGGTAGACCCTCCATCTCATGAATGGGGGTCTGGGTAAAGGAAGGAGCTCCCATCTGTCTGTTCTCACCTAGAACTTAGCCTCAACAACAGACAGATGTATAAGGCAGCACAAAAAAAAAAAAAAAAGAAAAGATGGTTGGTCTTGAGAGTGAAATGACAGAAAAATTATTAACTTACAGCTTTTTCATTAAGACTAAAAATCAAGTGCTCTCTCTAATCTCGGCCTTGTCTTTTAAAATCTGTTTATAGCCTCAAAGGTCCCTGGATTATTGTTGCTAGGTGAACAATGCATGGGGCCTTAGGATCAGAAACACCTGTGAAGTGTCTGGACCTGGAGACAAGCTGCTTATTATCCAACTACTAAGAAGACAGAGGAGCCTGTGGAACAGGTGCATGACATACTGTGAATTTGGCTACCATTACTTTTTTGTCTTTGTCCCCCTAAATTTAGCTGTCTCTTGACCTCAGTGTTGGCATCTTTTCTTTTTTCTTTAGGATGCCACACCATCTCCCTGTTCTCTTTCCTCTCTTTCCTTACTCTTTCATTCCTTCATTCCCTCTCTCTTTCTAAGAAGATGAAACTAACTTTATACTGTTATATCCTAATCTTAGTCTGGAGAAAATCTTTTCTCAACCTGTGCTGTGAACACCTGCTGAGCTTTCTATCCCAAGAAGAATTACTGGTTGATTTCTTGCCTCTCCTGGGAAGACAGCCCTCTGGTAGCTGTGGGGAGTGGGAACCCTATTTTCCTGGCTTTGCTGATCTGAAGAGTAGTTTCTGTTCTCCTGAGGTGGGAGGTGAGGAGGGAACAGCAGTTTTGATACCAAATACCACCACTATCTTTAGTGAATTTTAGTAGATTTTCTAGAATAGCTTTTTTCTCACTTCCTACATACCCTTAAACACCATTTCCAGAGACTTTCAGTGTTTTTTCTTTTCCTTAAATAATCTTCTCCAGTTTAGCTGGCGAATGCATTTGTAGTACTCTTCATGTTGTTGTGGTAGAAGTCCATCTCCTAGTACCATCTATTTTTATACTCATATTCTCATTTAATTTTACTTCATTTTAATATATTTCTGCTTGCTACCCTGGATGCATCATGTTAGCTTCTTCAAATACTTTTTAAAAGATGATAGGTATAAATGAAATTTAAATATGTCACCTTAATAAGATGCATTTCTCATCTGTCAAGGATCTTTTGTGGGTTTTCTTTTCTTTTTCTTCTTTTTTTTTGAGACAGAGTCTTACTCTATTGCCCTGGGGTTGAGTGCAGTGGCATTGCATAGCTCACTGTTGGGCTCAAGTGATCCTTTTGTCTCAGCCTCCCACGTGGCTAGGACTATAGGCACCCTCCACAAGGCCTGGCTATTTTGAGAGATAAAGTTTAACTCTTGCTCAGGCTGGTTTCAAACTCCTAAGTTGTGGCAATGCACCCACCTAGGCCTTCCAGAGGGCTAGGATTACAGGTGTGATTCTTCTCCTCAGTTGATTATGTTTTTATAAACAGTAAATAATATGAATTAAATTTTAATCATTAACTTTTCCTGGGGGGGGGAGGGTATAAGAGTGTAAGAGAAAATAACTTGCCATTCTCTTGTATTCAATGTTTTTCAAAAACTGTTCACAACCAGGTAAATGAAGATTTATCTCTTCTTCTTCCCTGTCATTTTGGTGGCTTGCTATGGCAGAATTCCTTTCTTTCTTTGTCTTAAGATATTTTTTCCTGGTTTTTATCTGGGTAAAAGAATCATATTTAAAATCGATATTTAATCAACACATCAAAGACATTATATACGCAGACATGAAATTATCTTGAGATTCCCAGTTCTGAGATGGGGAAGTACTTTTGCTACTCCTCCCCCTAAGTACAACTAAAAACTTTAGATACCATAAGAAAAACATACATAAGAAGCTTTTAAAAGATGGAAAGGAGAAACCAGCCAGCTTGGAAATTCAGGACCATAGGAATAGCATGACAGTGAGGTGCTGGGTTATCTTTTTATATTACTGTATGTTCTAGCTGGAGAAGCTTGCAACCCAGAAGTGTCAATGAATGCAGACTTTTAAAAACCCTACAAAAGCCTGTTTTCTCTAGTCAGAGAACCAGGAGAGGTGCAGCCTAGAAAGACAAAAACCTATGTAAATCAGAGAAAAAGTGTGACACCCCCCACCAAAACACACACACACACCCCCATGCCAACCAGGTTGAGTGGCAAGTGGGAGCTAAGACTTCTATCCTTGTCAGGCTGTCCCAATCTCTTCTCCAGGATAGAGAAAGCTAAGCAGAGGACCAAGCAAAATGCATGTGCAAAGATCTTCAAGATCATTGGCTGTTAGAGAAATTCAAATTAAAGCCATAATGAGATATCACAAAGCAACTATCAGAATGGCTAAAATAGAAAATAATGACAACACCAAGTTTTGGTGAGAATGTACAGAACAATTATACATCTACTTTGGAAAACCGTTTGGAAGTTTGTCAAAGAATTAAAACAACAACTAGTTTACCACCCAGCAATTGCACTCCTAGGTGTTCATCCCAGAGAAATGAAGACAAGGTTCACATAAAAACACATACACTAATGATACGTTCATAATAGTCCCAAACTGAAAACTACTCACATGCCGTTCAACAGGAGAAAGGTAAAGCAAGACTTGTAAATCTCTACCTATCATGGAATACTACACAGCAACAAAAGGAAGAAGCTATGGGTATGTGTATCAACTTGGATGAGTGTTTCAAGAATTATGCTCAGTGAAGAAAGCCAGTCCCCAGAAATCATGTATTTATATTATAGTTGTGAAATGACAAATTTACAGAAATGGGGAACAGATTTATGGTTGCCGGGGCTAAGTAAGGTGTAAGGGCAGGAATGTGTGGGGATGGCTTTAAGAGAGCAACCTTAGGGATCCTTAAGGTCATGAAAATGTTCAGCATTTTGACTGGATCAATGTCAATACATTCTTTTTTTTTTTTTTTTTTTTTTGAGACAGACTGTGTTGCCCTCAGTAGAGTACTGTAGTGTCACAGCTCACAGTAACTCCAACTCTTGGGCTTAAGCGATGCTCTTGCCTCAGCCTCCCAAGTAGCTGGGACTGCAGGTGCCTGCCACAATGCCTGGCTATTTTTTTGTTGCAGTTGTTTAGCCCAGGCCGGGTTCAAACCTTCCACCCTTGGTGTAAAGGCAATATCAGTACTTTCACTGTATATTGTGTTATAGTTTTACAAGGTGTTATCATTAGAGGAAGCAAGAAAATAGGGTCCATGGTAATCTCTTTAAATTATTTTTTATAAATGCAAAGGAATCAAAATTTAAAATTTAACTTTAAAAAGTTATAATTTAATTGATATTACATTTAATTTGTTTATTCTTCTTAAAGGATACCCACTCTCAAAACTTTTATTCTAAATTAGGTAACAAACAGGCTCAGACTTCCATCTTATGTGTCCTCACTTTCTCTCTTGCTTACTAACTCTGATGGATGCCAGCTGCCATGTTGTGGGCTGTTTTACAGAGAAGCCCTCATGGCAAGGAACTGAGGGAGACCTTTGGGTAATAACCAGCAGCAAATTGAGGACCTTGGCCCAACAGCCTGTGAGGAATTATATCTTGTAAGCAACCATGTGAATGACTTTGAAAGTGTAGCTTCCCTCAATCAAGCCTTCAGAGGAGATCACAGCCCAGTTAACAACTTCATTGCTGCCTTGTGAGACATCTTAGATAGAAGCATCTAGCTAAGCCACTCCTGGACTGCAAGACCTACAGAAACTATGTGATATTAAATGTTTATGGTTTTAAGCTGCTAAGGTTTAAAGTAGTTCTATAGCAATAGAATACCAATGCACATTCTTTGTTAAAACCTTAGAAATTATTAATCCTTGTAGTTGGACAAAATGGCTCTTGGAAAAGTTAAGTGTGTGGTCTTATGGAGTAATCTATGTATATGTGGAATATCCAGGCATGTGCTCATAGCTGCAGAGCCTCTCTCCTAAAGGATATTTAGGAAAATACAATCATGGAGTTGTCTCCAGGAACAGAACTGGATAGTTGAAGAACTTGGTGGGATATAGACTTCTCTGTAACCTATTTTTTATTTTTAAACTATTGAACCACATTAATGTATTCTCTATTACAATTTTCAAATTGATATTTAAATGGCCAGATGGAAGATGGTGGAAAAGAAGGAACTTCCAAAGAATGGAGCTAGAAGCTGCAGTGAAGGATGGCCTGACCAGGAAACATTTCTCGTGCCCCAGCCTAGGGCATATCTTACATGCTTGCACAACAAAATTTCAGAGTCCTTTTCGTTCAATGACTACTACATGCTTCTCATTCTTCCTGGTTTTTGAATGGGGGTGTTCATTATAGTTTTCCTATTTCTGTTCTACCATTATAGGTTGAGAATGTATGTGTGGATTTAGATAATCTGTCACATTATTTCACAGGTATCTGGATCTAAAGGCAATAACTCCAGACCTGATATTGATCATGAAGTGGACTTTAAGGATGATACCATGATGGAGTGAGACTATTGGGGGTATGAGTACTAGTACATTTTGTATTTGGGTGGGAACTGAATAACCATCAGATAGGAGGTTGATTCTGAAACACTGGATTGTTATTTCCAATTCTTCACTCTCCTACATCCTGTCTTTGCCATATAACTTTGTAGTACTCCCTACTCTAGGAGAAGTATATTTCCCCATCCTGTTGATGTTGGGTCTGGCTATGTGACTTACTATGGTTAACAGAATGTTAGTGAATATTCTACAAGGTGCTATTGTATGTAATATGACATAGTTTCCAGGAGGAAATGTAGCTTTAAATGTGCTTATATTGCCTGATTTCCCTTTTATAGTCCTGGTTTTCACCATCGGATATTTCCTGGGTAAACTCTGGCCCAAGAAACATAACTGAATTCAACCCTAAGCCACGTCTAGTATAGCCAACCTGCAGACCGATGAATGAGAAAATAAAGTTTGTTGTAAGCCACTGAAGTTTGCAAGTTTTTTGTTATGTAGCTGAAAGACTTAGTGTCTCCTTAGCTTGCTCCCTCACTTCCTTTAAGTTCTACTTAAGTAGCAACTTTTCAGTTTCATAACTCCTATTCAAAACTGTGATTTCCACTGATACTCTTTTTTTTAATGAAATGCTTATTTTATTGTTTATAGAACATTATTTTTGATAGATATACATTTTTAGCAAAGACAAGGTATTTAATTTTTTATCTTCTATTTGTCTTTGTCTTCTATGACTATCACAACCCATTAAATTTTATCTTAGTGAACATAATAAAAATGCAAGTATAAATATTAGAAAAGGAAGTGAAACAAAAGACCTTTAAGGCATATGGGCCAATACAAGGCCTCTTGACTGTTATTGTTACTGAAAATTCTCTACATTATGTTTTTTAATATTGTTGACTCCTGTTCATACTCTCATCAATTTTTGTTGATATTCTTGTGAATAAATTATTGGATATCTTCTTGTTTATAACTTATCAGAGACTATATATATATATGCACACACACGTATTATATATCATATATATGTATTTTACATATATCCTAGTCAATTATACCTGTCTATTAACTTTCTTGGCATATGTGAATTTTTTTTTTTTTTTGAGACAGAGCCTCAAGCTGTCCTCCTAGGTCGAGTGCTGTGGCATCATAGCTCACAGCAACCTGCATCTCTTGGACTCAAGTGATCTTCTTGCTTCGGTTTTTCTATTTTTAGTAGAAATGGGGCTCACTTTTGCTCAGGCTGGTCTCAAACCCGTGAGCTCAAGCTATCCACCTGCCTCAGCCTCCCAGAGTGCTATGATTAGAGGTGTGAGCCACCACACCTGGCCTCCACTGAAACTCTTATTCTCCTCTTCTGCTTTAATTTCCCCTTTAGGTGCTTATCTCTATTTAACAAATCAGGCATTTTATCTATTTATCTTGTTTATTTTATATCTCCCCCAAGATTTTGTTTCATTTTTCCTCCCTATTCTATTTCCAGCATCTAGACAGTACCTGATACATAGCTGGAGTTCAATAAATAGTTGAGTAATAAACATGTAAATGAATATCGTACTAACGATCAGGTGATATACGTTAGGCTACCACCTCTGTCACTAACAAGTCATGTGGCTTGAGAAGTAAATCTTTCTGGATCTTAAGTGTTTTTCATCTATAAAGAAAATATGTTAGAATAAAAAATGCTAAGGTTAGAAAATTTTATGATTTAAAGATATAAACAAAATCAGAAAATAATAACTATTACCATACAATAATTATATGTCCATAAACATTGTTTTGCATGCTTGTCACAATAAGAAAATTACCTATTAGCATATTCATACCATAAGCAAAATTATTCAAGCATACCTGAGAAGTTAAATTGGGAGGAGAAGTCGGAGAGTCATTGGATTCTGAACTGTCAGAGCCTCGGCTACTACAAAAAAATTAATAATTTTAGTTTATGTAATTTTTGCTGGCATTTTAAAATTTTAGCTGCTGCTTTTACTTTATCATCTTATTTTAATGGTGGAAAAGTCCTAATTGTAAGAAGGTTTACAAAGGTGATTTAAATGTTTGGTAGTTCCAGACATCTTCTAAATAGAGATTTTGGTTGAATGGTTTGGGAATGTGTTTATGGAATGTAAGTTCCAGAAAAGTAGCATTGACTTTCTGTCTGGCTCCCTGCTCTATTTTCAGAGTGAAAATATTGCCTGGCAGGTAGTAGGTACTCAATATTATTTAATAAGTGAATGAATAAATGATATGTGTGTATCTGGGGATTTTCCTACCTGTAATAGGTATCATTAGCTTCTAAAATTCGTTTATTTTCACATTACTTTAGTTCCATTCTGCATAAAACCACACAGGGCCATAGAAAACATAGTACCTCAAGAAAAAATGGTCAAACAGAAATCGATTTCTAACTTCAATCATTTAACGCAGTGGTAGTCAAACTTTTCTGCTTGAGAGCCAATGCAGGAAAGAAAAATATTTCTAGGTTGTATTTTTTATGGATTAATTTTTAATTAATAGAATTTTTTTTGAGTAGTTTTAGATTTACAGAAAAATTGAGAAGATAGTACAGAGGACTCATACACACACCTCCCACCCCTTGCATAATTTCCCCAATTATTAACATGGTACAGTATACAACACATTTGTTAAATTGATAAAACAATATTGATACATTATTATTAACTAAAGTCTATAGTTTTACATTAGGATTTACTGTTTTGTTGTACCTTCTGTATGAGTTTTGACACTTTTTTTTTTTAACTTTTCTTTTTTTTTTTGGCTGGGGCTGGATTTGAACCTGCCACCTCCGGCTTATGGGGCTGGCACCCTACTCCTTTGAGCCACAGGCACCACCCGAGTTTTGACAAATTTATAGTGGCATGTATCCACCATTACAGTATCACATAGTAGTTTCAATACCCTAAAATCCTCTGTGCTTCACCTATTCTGTTTCTGAATGTTTCTTGTTATATAGTTCTGACTTTCTTATGTAAATGTGTTATATAAAAGTTTTTCCTCAAAGAGAGAAAAAGCCATTCCTAAAAATTAAAATAAGCAAAAACTGTATGGCTATATTGTAAAATAAAGTAAGTAAATATTTACCTTAACATAATTAGGACAAAATATTTTCAGCATAAGAGAAAAGAGATACAAATATAAAATCAAGGAAGAATAAATGCTATAATCTTAAATTTGAACTGGAAATATAACTATTAACTTGTGGGGTTTTTTTTCTTAAAAATACTAATTTCCTAACTTAATCCCCTGGAAAAAAATTTCTCGAGCTAATGATAATAACTACTATCTAGGCTATGTTATCTAAATACCATTTTTAACTAAAAGAAATAGGCCTTCTGGGAGAAATGGTGGATTCTATTTCTGGTGCAGGAATAAACAATATGAGCCTGGGAAATCTTATCATAGCTGAAAATTACAAAGATTAGCAGGGTTATGTCAAAAAGACACACAGACCAAGGGTCTTGTACTGGTCATATTTGAGAAAATTTGAGCTTTAGAATAATAATGACTGAAATTGGTTAGAATGCATCAAATAGAAACAAATAGATGAGTTCAAAATGATACTCTCCACCTAGAAACAAATTTATTAGTCATGAGTGGAGATTGCAAGGGTGCTAGCTTGAAGCCTGAATATACATGGAAAGAATCAAACATTTGTTCTACTTTTCCCATGGGAAAGGGAACCAAACTGAAATTAGTATATTCTTTCTGCCAACAATATTCTCTTAGCATTTATTCTTGCATTTATTATTCACAAACTTTTGTTATAGAACTTTTGTGTCATCTGTGCAAAAGTACCAGTTCTCTGTGAGTAATGACAACATTACAACCAATCTGGACAGAGAAACACACAGACAAAGGAATTATAAGACTAACAGAAAATAATTAACAAAACGGCAATAGCAAATACTTTACTATTAATAATTACCTAAAATGTAGATGGATTAAATTTCCCAATCAAAGGACAAAGAGTGGCCAACTACATGCTGTTTATGAGACACTTCTTTTAGATTTAAGGGTATACATAGGTTGAAAGTGAAGGGATGAAAAAATGATATTCCATGTAAATGGTAGCTAAAAGAGAGAATGAGGAGCTATTGTATCAGATGAAATAAACTTTAAGTCAAAAGCTATCAAGAGAGACAAAGAAGGATACAATAATAAAAGGATCAATCCACTAGGAAGATATAATAATAACTACATATGCACCCAACATCAGAATGACTAATTATATAAAGCAAACGTTGACAGAGCTCAAGGGAGAAATAGATGGCAATACGATAATACCGGAGACTTCAATACCCCACTTTCAATAATAGAACATCAAAAAGAATATCAGTAAGAAAAAGGAGTGAATCTAATAGATATTTACAAAATGCTCTTAATAGCAGCTGAATACATATTCTTTTCAAGGGCACATGGAATTTTCTTCAGGATAGATCACATGTTAGGTCACAAAACAAGTCTTAACAAATTTAAGAAAACTGTAATCATACTGAACATTATTACTACAATGGAGTGAAACTACAAATCAACAGCAGAGGGAAAATTGGAACATTCGGAAATTTATAGAAATTAAATGGCACACTCTTAAACAATCACTGGGTTAAAGATGAAATAAAAAAGAAATCAAAAAATAATTCAAAACCAACAAAAATTAAAACATAACATACTAAAATTTATGGAATACAGGAAAAACAGTATGAAGAAGGAAATTTATTGTGGTGGATGATACGTGATAGTTATAAGTCAAACAGACTCATAAGTCATGTGGAGATTAAATCAGTAATCAAAAATCTCCCAACAAAGAAAAGCCCAATATCAGACGGTTTTGCTGGTGAATTCTATCAAATGTTTGAAGAAAAATTATGGCAGTCATTCTCAAATGCTCCCCAAAATATGAAGAGGAGAGAACTTTTAATTCATTTTATGAAACCCACATTAAACTGATTCCAAAGATCTACACAAGGTTACTACAAGAAAAGAAAGCCACAGTCCTATAATTCTGATGAATATAGATGAAAAAATTCCTTAACAAAATACTGGGAAACTGAATCCAATAGCACATTAAAAGGATCATTCACCATAACCAAGAAGGATTTATTCCTGGGATGGAATGATGGTTCCACACATGAACATTAATGTGATATACCACATAAACAGAATAAAGGATAAAAAATCCATGATCTTCTCAATAGGTGAAGATATTAGTGATGGGGAGTGGCTGTAAATACAGAGGAGGCTTGCTTGCCCATCACCTCCAGCTGTGGGCTGTGTGGCTTGTTCCTAACAGGCCAAGCCAATTTTTCCATGGATAGGGGACAGGAGGCAGAGCTCAGGCAGTAATGCTAGCATTCTGGTTTCTAGTGGGCCACAGACTGATACTGGTCTGTGGCCACAGTTTGGGCACTGCAGAACTATATGACATTCTGGAAAAGGCAAAACTATGGAGATTTGTGTTGCCAGGGGTTGTAGGGAGGGAGGGATTAATAAATGGACTCTTAGGGTGAATTAATGTGATAAAAACACTCTGCATGGTAGTTTAATGGTGGATACACATACATATCATTATAAATTTGTCCAAACCCATAGAGTGCACAATACCAAGAATAAATCTTAATGTATATTATGAACTTTGAATGATAATGATGTGTCAGTGTAGACTTATTAATTGTAATTTATGTACCACTCCGGTAGAAAATGTCGATGGTGATGGTTTGCATGTATGGGGTTAAGGAAAATATTGGGAGTCTCTACTTGTACTTTCCACTCAATTTTTCCATAAGCCTAAAACTGCTTTATAACTAAAGTCTATTAAAATATAGAAAGAGAAACAAAAATAAAAGCTAACAAAAACTAATTTGGTATATCTTTCACATAGAATAAGTATACCATATACTATACTGCTCATATTACTTGAATGAAAGAATAAATCAAATGAACTCTTGAGGAAGTCTGGCCAAAATAATGTGTGTGAGAAATTTTTTTCCCTCCCACAGTTGGGATTTTTAGCCGAAACTGACAATTTAATCTTAGTATTATTATAAGGAGCACTATAAAACAGCACAAGAAATTGCATTACTTCAATATCCTTGAGTTACCTAGACTCTAGATCCAATGTAATTTCTATCATAGAATTATCTGAATCCTCACAGATCTTTTCCAAGTTCATACGTTTTTCCATTTCTTCTAATTCTTTCAGGCACTGATAATACTAAGGGAAAAATGATAAATGAGATCGTTATAAAATAACCTTATTTCTTAAACTATTTGAATATTTATATAACCTAGAACAACACTTATTGGAGCTTTAAGTAGCCAGAACCCAAGGACACCGTTAGGACATTAAAAGGAAAAATTGCCATAGGCCCACAAGCAGGTTACATGATCTGATAGGCTGGAATCTGATGCATTACCAAATGGACTTTGCTTACCTTGGTGCGGTCGGGATCACAATAGTCCAAGAGAGAATCACAAAAATGGTATCCCATTGACCCAAAGTCTTTTGTGCTGAAATGAGTGCCTCGTTTATTACCTAAAACATCAATAAGTTTATCCACCTTTGAGGATGAGTTAATTTTTTTTAGCAAGTAGGCCTAAATTGCAAAACTGAGAGTATTGACAAAACATCAATATGATTCCATATTCCATCCTTTGGATTTTCTTTTCTGGGGCAAGTCATTTAACAGCTTATTGCTTTCCTTGTTCCTTTTCCACCACCCAGACCAAAGGTGACTTGAAAGAGATCAGTCAGTGTTGTAAGGCAGAAGACAATTCAATAAGACAGTTACGGAATAGTTGGTTATCAGTTATAAAAGGCCCTAAGAATCACTTGGGTAGGATTTTATAGGAAAATGTTTTCATCATAAGCAATGTTATGTCAGTTTCAAAGTGCTTTAAGAACTGGCTGGAAATTATAAAAATTGGTTTCTGTCACTTTCCTTTGAGTTGATATATTTTCTGACAGTATGACAATTACTTTAATATGTAGTACTCTATATCTATATTTAGGATATGCTGGATGTGACCTCAAGATTTCTTAAATGAGATTGCAGATCATACTTTTGGTTTTTGTTCAGGGAACCAAGTGCTTCCATTTAAACATCAGTTGACCAAAAAAGTTATCTATTTCGCCTTGCAAATAACCAATCCAAAAAACTGATTTCTGTCATGTATTTTAGACATGTGCATCGCTTTCTTAAAAATCATTAGGAACTTCCATTTTTAAAAAATCTGCAGAAACCCCCTTAAAAATAACAAGCATTTAAAGATTAGTTATTATACAATCAGAGTATTCTATACACATGCTAAAACTTTCCTTTCTAAACAAAAGGAAATGATGGAATGGAGATAACTATGTAGTGGAAGTTTATTCATTCTGTTTATAGAATTGGTTAAATATCAGTATGTATTTAAACAGAAAGAAAGTGCTTACTGTACTATTAATTTTACATAAAAAATATCTTTGGTTTAAAGTTCTGAAAGCTGAGAATAAGAACACTTGGTTTTACCCAGGGTAGATCCACAGAAGGTGGCTTCCATGGTAAAGCTGTTCCTGATTCCCATTTTCCACATGACTACCCTTCCTGTTCCTTCTTTGCTTTTCCGAACATTAAATTTGCAAGCTGAGAATGAAAACTGAAAAGAAGCAAATAAAAATGAGATGCATTGTTCTGATACCTGTATCTTTTTTAGAAAGTAAGGTTGAAAACATAAAAGTAGTTATGCAAAATCTATAATTCTCACTAAAACTCCAGGAGCTACTTTTCATTTCCTGACAGTTTATTTGTTATTCTGTACTATTGCTCTGAGTGTTATACCAGTTCCTATTAGTACACTGTCTTCATTATTGTAGTTTTATACTAAGTCTTAAAATTTGATAATGTGATTCCATCAACTTTATTAATTTTTCTCAAAGTTGTTTTGCCTATTTTAGGTCCTTTGCATTTCCTTTTGAATTTTAGAAACAACTTGCTTATATCTGTAAAAAATGTGCTATGCTTTTGTTTGAAATTGAGTTACATCTATAGATCAGTTTGGGGAGTTGTTATCTGAGGAAGTTTTCAAAGATAAAATGGTAGTGGTAATAAGGTGGTAGCATTTGGGGCATTTTTGTTCTTTTTTTTTTTTAATCTTTATGTTCCTTTATTGCAGCAAGATTCCTGATTGGTATACAGTGATGTATTTACTAAACAGAGACCTGTGCAGAAATTACATACTATCCATCCAGACAGGTTTTGTTATAGTTTGCCTATTGATGGAATAGTTCCATTTATAAAGTTTTATACATCAGAAAACGTTGAATTTGACCAAGCTGTCCATTAATTCACCTCTGAAAAAGTGGCATTTAATTTCAGCTACTATATTTTAAGGTGTTAAAAAGCTTATGCATTAGGGAGCTTCTCTGCACAATGGCATTGAGCAGGCAGAGCAGAGTCCATCATACCACCCAGATTCACAGTCATGAGAGCTTTGTTCTAGAGAGTGCTGGGACTTAAACAAAGTGACTCCTAACCACCAACAAGGCCTTCATATTCTGACATCCTGTCTTCTTGATTGTGTTTTATAGGGCCAACAAAGACATGCCAGTAACTGCCCCAGTGCATAACTTGGTATTAGAGCACCAGTTCTGTTTGACGGTGGTGGTGGGCATTATTATTTTATATTCAGCTAAAAGGCCCATTTAAAAACTACGAATTGGAGATAAAAATCAAGGGTACAACACATTCAGAACTGGGTTTGAGCAATTTGATATCCCAAATAATGTATTTTCAGAAACCAGTGGCAAATTGTATCCACATTTCCTAGCCATGAAGACATTTAATACATTGATTCAAATCCCTTTGTTCAATCCACAAAGCCCTGAGATCCTCTTGCAAAGTGCATATCAAAAAATATAAAGTTGGGGTGACAAAGTTTGACGATGATGCTATACAAGTCAAACTTGGAAGATCAAAGAAAGTACATCTATTCTGAGAGAAAAACATCAAATCCTTTGTGCAAATATTTAGTTTTACTGTAACAAAGCAACTTGTACACTTTTAACATGTAGAACTGAACATCATCTTTCCTTTCCAGTGAAACAAAAAGAAAATTTAAAAATAAAAAGGAACAAAATTACTATAGAGAATGTCAATTCCAAATAAGATCCAACAGGTTCTGCTGATTCTCCCATTTGAGTGGCAGGGCTTAAGTCATCAATAGGAGAGAATTTATTTTAAAAGTGTCATCTTAAACAGCAAGGATGTCTGTTAAACATCACAATTAAACATCTTGGGATAAGGGAGGACTTGCCAAAGGAGAAGCCATGTTGTCAAAATGTCCATTAAACCCACCCGGACATCTCAAACCCACCCTCTGTTGACCTTCTAAACCCTATTTTTAAAAGTTTTTTCTTTCTTTTTTTAAACAAGAGAAAGTAGACAGATAATGTTGGTAAATGCTAACTGTCCATATTCACATAGAGACACAGTATTAAGGTGGTAGCATTTGGGGCATTTTTGGGTTTTTTTCCCCCATATTTTCAAATTATTGGTCACTAAACAGAACCATACAATTGCTTTCTTACGGCCAATTGTATAAACCAGTGAAAATAACTAAATGAAAAAACAATGTGCTGAAAAGGATTATTTATGGGCAATGTTTAGGAAGGAAAAGTTATAATCTTAAAAGATGCTTACTTTATCAGGACAATTTTTGCTCAACATAAGTGGAAAGATTCGTTGTTGTAAGTACAGTGCTTTAGACTTCTCGGTACCATTGCAGCCGTACATGAAGATGTTCTCTTTCCTACTGTGGCCATGAATATCACAATATAAAAGAACCTCTCGTTTCTCCATCAATCTACCAAGAAGAAAAAGAATAAGTTACTAAATTTTACCTCTCCATTTTTCTTCTATGGGTACAACTATCAATTTACCAAATTATCTTCTATGGGTATAACTATCAATTTATCCAAATAGAGTTTTTTAATACCCTGGTCTTCAATTTATTTCTCTTCTTATCTATTTGCCTGTTATTATTAATATACTTTTTAATTTAAAATCTACAGTAATTTACTATAAACTATATAAAACTGAATGCTGTGGTCTTTTATGATAACGACAAAATTGACCTCACTTCCAAGACCTTTCCAACAAGATCTCTCTGCTTTATTATTCCATTTTCCCATGCATGTCTTTGCCTGTTACCTTTCACATAAATTCTGACTAGGATACCTTCTTTCTTCATCTCTGGAATTGTAAATGCTATCTCCCAGTCTTCAAGACTGACCTCATGTCTCACTTCCTTTGTAACTAGTCAAGCCCATAGATTTTTCTTTCTTTAAATCCCTGTAGTGTTTAATGTTGGTACCATTTACTTGGCACTTGCCTGGGAAAGTTTGCATATTTTTGCTATGTAAGCTCATTAAAGATGGGAAATGCTTCAAATCATCCAGAACAGCACTATGCACATAATTAAGTACCCAATATCTGTTAAAAATTGAGTGCCTGATGACTTGGTCCTGAAGCTAACCAATATTTAATCCTTGATTAGTGTGGTGACTAAATATCATTTTGAGAAAAAGGTTACTAAGGTTTGAATTGATTTTTTCCAGTATATTTCTAATAAATATTTTATTTTTACTTTTTTTTTTTTTTTTTTTTTGAGACAGAGTCTCACTTTGTCATCCTGGGTAGAGTGCTATAGTGTCATAGCTCACAGCAACCTCAAACTCTTGGGCTTAGGCAATTCTTTTGTCTCAGTCTCCCAAGTAGCTGAAACTACAGGTGCCTACCACAATGCCTGGCTAAGTTTTTAGAGATGAGGCCTGGTTCTTGCTCAGCCTGGTCTTGAACTCCTGAGCTCTGGTAATCCACCTACCTGGGTTCCCAGAGTGCTAGGATTACAGGCACAAGCCACTGTGCCTGGCCTAAAAATATTTTAAAGAAATTATCATACATTCCTTAAGAGGACAATCCTTAGTCTATATAATTTAATACTCAATAAATAGAAAAACAACCAAAAATAGGCCCCTCAAACTGATAGATGAAAATGATTCATAGAAGAGGCTTTCAAAAGGTAAAAGAAAGGCGGTGTGTTAAGGTGATAGGATTATTATATTATTTAAATAATAAGGGTGGTGCCTGTGGCTCAAGGAGTAGGGCGCCAGCCCCATATACTGGAGGTGGCGGGTTCAAACCTGGCCCCGGCCAAAACCTGCAAAAAATAAATAAATAAATAAATAATCAAAATTGCATGTACCACTTATTATATCTGGAAGGATAAATACAAAATGTTAGCAATAGTTTATAATAATATGAAATATATTAGATTTATAGCATTACTAAGACCTTAAATCAAAACATTCAAAGCATCACTTCCATTAAAAACAATATGGTGAAATCCCAAACTAATATTTACTGCATGTATTAATTTATTGTCCTTTTCTCATTTGGTATCTAATAAATTGTAATTGACAACAGAAAACTGACATAAAACCACTAAATGATCATTACAAGTTTTAGAAAACTAGCTAAATTATAAGACATGAATATCAAGTTTGTAAGTGGGAAACATGCTGCACATTTTTAAACTCCAAATTCTCCAGTTTTAATGATCTTTCAACTTCTTAAAAGTAAGTTAAAAGAAACTTTTCTTTCTGGCTCAGCGCCCGTAGCTCAGTGAGTATGGCGCCAACCACATATATCGAAGCTCGCAGGCCTGCTAAACAGCAATGACAACTGCAACCAAAATATAGCTGGGCGTTGTGGTGGGTGCCTGTAGTCCCAGCTACTTGGGAGGTTGAGGCAAGAGTATGGCTTAAACCCAAGAGCTTGAGGTTGCTGTGAGCTGTGACGCCACAGCACTCTACTGAGAGTGACATAATAAGACTCTGTTTCAAAAAAAAAAGGACAGGAAAACTCTACTTTTTTTTTTTTTGCAGCTTTTGGCTGGAGCTGGGTTTGAACCTGCCACCTCCAGCATATGGGGCCGGTGCCCTACTCCTTTGAGCCACAGGTGCCGACCAAAACCTTTACTTCTAAATAATTAATTCCCAAAGAAATGCTATCCCATTGAAGTAAAACAGGATATTAGGGTCTCTCATCTTACATTAATTTAAATAACTTCAGAAATAGCTTAGATTTTCCTTTCACTCACAGGTAATTAAGATGTTTTAAGTATTTTACACCAAGTACTCCCTTATACTAAGATCTACACTCTCTCATTCTAATATGCTTTAAATATACTTAACCCTAGGTATACTTTTAGCTGCCCACCTTTCTACACATATGACACTGATTTCTTATCCCACTTATTTGCCTATGATTCATTACATTAAGTCTTTCTCTTTCTTAGAAGTCTTTTAAAAACTTTCTGAATAGACTCCTGCTTTAATCTTCTTACAAGGAGATCTAAGAAGAGCTGAGGAATTTAACATAGTTTCCATAGAGACAAGCCATGAGGTCTTGACCTGTAATTCCTCATGTGTCAGACCAGGGACCCTTAGTGTCAAAGAGGCATTAAATAGACATTATAGATATTCTAACAGATATCCCTTCAGTGCCCTATATATTATTTATCATATATATATTACTTTATATAATAAATTCCCAAGGAAATGCTATGTTGCTGCAGTAAAACAGCATATAAAGTGTTTCATCTTACATTAAATTATCTATACATGTGTATCTTTAATAAACTTTACAGTGATTTTATATTTACACAATAGTTACAAAAGTAGTAGAGACAGTTCTTATATATCCCTCACCCAGTTTCCCCTAATGTTAACAGACTACATGACAAAGATACATTGTTAAAGATGAAGAAACCAACATTGGTATTGCTATTAACTAAACTACCCACCTTTATTTGAATTTCATTAGTTCTTTTACTAATGCCCCTTTTCTATCCCACAATCCAACCCAGGAAGCCACATTACATTTATTATGTCAAGTCCCTTTTAATTGTTTGCCATGCCTGGGAAAATAAAGAAGTCACAGTTTTATCACTTAAACATGTCCCAAATGCATCCAAGAAATCCTGGAATTCACATGAGGGAGGGGCATAAAACCAGGGTTTTCATTCCTCATTGTGGAGCTCTGTGCTTTACTCCCTATGTTCCTAAGCAGATATAAAATGATAGAAAAGTGAAGGTTAAGGCTGAGCTGTCCAGGATAGTAGAAGCAGCTATTTCCTAAAACCTGTCAGCTCCTTTGAAGACCTGGAGGCACCCCGGGGATCCTCAGATTTGTAACAGGGTTCTTATGTGCTTGCCCTGTGAGGGCTACTGGTAGCAAAAATCTAGACAAGAATGTAAGCATTCTCTATAGAAATACTAATCGTTGTAACATTTGAACAACCCCAGATTGTTTACAAATAGTTTTCATATCTACATCTGCTTAAAATTAACAACTTCTTTCTTTTTACATTTGAGGAAACACACTGAATGCATTTTGTGCTTTCAGTGTTCCAGATCCTATTCCGAGTACTTTCGTAATAATTTGCACATTTAGTCCTCCTAGTGTTGAGGTATTATCTTATAAAGGACAAAACTGAGACTGATACTGCTTTCTAAACTGCACTGCTTGCATAGTTAATAAATGACATAGCAGAAATTTAAATGTGATATGCTGAACTCCAAAGTCTGTGCTCTTAACCAAAAAGGTTAAGAGGCTCTGAACTTGGAAAAACTTGGACTGGATCTGTGAATTCAATAAATCTTTTCACTGTAGCACATGTATATTCCTGATTATCACCTTAACCTATCAAAGAATTCACCCAATTATTCAACAAATAATTATGTTATGTGCATTTTACTGTTCTAGATTCTTAAATTCTAGAAAATCCAAACTGTTCAATTTTGGGGTGGGGGGAATGAGACTATTATTCATGAAAATGTAAATGAGTATGTAACCTGATAAGCAAAAGACTCATAGAGCCTATCCATGAGCAACATAGTGCCAGAAGGCATATGGGATGTAATTAATTTTCTCGTATAAAGGAGTCACTGTGTGAACATCAGTGGTACCGTTACCTTTTTTGAGAAACCAAATTTGGGATATGCAAGTTTAACTATTAGTTTCACAGAGCCACCAAGACATTCTGGAGTGTATTTCACTATTTAAAGGAAGGCTAGTGAATCTCCTGGCATAATGCCAGAAGGGTATAGAATCCAAGTTCAGAAGAATGGGGAAAAATAAAGTAGTTACATGGCAAACAGTCCTAAGAAAAGTTAGAGTAAAATGAGTGGGACTCTGGGAGCAAAATTCTTACTACCAAGTTTACTAAATAAGCATAGAGGTAATTTGAAGCTTATTTTACCTACGGATCATGTTCCGGGTATACCATACAGAAGGAAAAGATTCCTTCATGACAGACGTATAATTACGGTTTAAATCCCGTCCAGCTAAGGAACACCGATAATTTCCCACAATCACACCATCTGGATTCAGCATGGGTACCACCTTGAAGATGAAAGTGTCCCGAAGCAACTGCGCATCCTTTGAGTCTCCTAAAATATAATCTAGGAAGCCTTTCATAATCCAAGAGCTGTTGGTTTCCCCTGGATGGACCCTTGCAGTCAAAATCACGGCCTTTCGGGTTCTTGAGTCAGTGTTCTTCAAAGGGGTAGTGATTGTTAAAACATACACCATGTTCCTAGCAAGCGTGTGGCACAAAACACGTATTTTACAAAACTTTGACCGTACTGGGTCATTATTGATACCAGAAAGGTATTCTTGCAGGTTGGTGTAAGTGTAGGGATAGCAGTGAGCAAAGTAGCAGGTATCTTTGTTGTGTGGAAATTGAAATGTCCATGTAAGAGAGAAATAATGGCGCCCATCTTGCCCAGGGTTGTTCCTATAATACTTGATTTGGTCTCCTATTCTCTGCCAGCCAATTTGATGAGTGTTGGCCTCCTTTTCAGAATAGAACAGTGGGCGCATACCCCGATTGTAAAGACTAGCAGGCTTGATGAAGTTGACAATTGTGAATCTGTAGACTACTCCTGCTTGGGTATTAGTGACTTGGAAATAGTACCACTGGGTGTGTTTATTTGTGAAGAGGTCAGGGCGCACAGTCAGCTGGTATTCATATTCTGCCCTAATACACAAAAAGGAAGGAAAAGGAAGCACATAAGAATGTAAAAATGACATTTGAATTTAAAATAAAGAAAAACTATATTTGCCTATCATAAAAAGTTTATTAGAGAAAAATGTTCATTTAGGCAGTATCCAATAGCAAGTAACTCAGAAGATAAAAGTTTTAAAATTTTATATATTATTGGGTGAAAAACTGCTTTTATGCTAATTCCAAAGCCTTTGTATCCCTTTGTAACTCCAAAAAGCACATAAAACCATGGGTATTTGATAAAAATCTGGATATGTCAACCCAATCATATTTTCTACAAAATAAATGATTATAAAATTAAAGAGTTATTGAAATCGAAGTCCAACATTTCTTTCTTTACTTCAGACTTTTTTTCCTATTTTCTATTAAATTCTAATTCTAGGGATATAAAATAACTAACATGGAGAGATTAAAAACATATAAATTAATATGGTCACAGAGATTACAAAATTTGAGCTTCTTGAGGACAAGAACTGCATTTGATAACTATTTGCATCCCCATACTTAGTCACTGGAGATATTTAAATGAAGGCAAACATAATAATTTCACTGGAACATTGTTTATATACATAAAAATCCTGCCTGGTTAGTTGTGACTTTTTCTTTACCAAACACCTTTCTATTCTATCAGCACTATGTACTTATATGTGTGTGTGCATCTATGAATAGATGAAATGTTGCAAAACTTTGATAGCCGTTGAATCTAAATGATGGGTATATGGTACTGAATGTAGAATTTATTTTTCTCTGTACTTACATGTATGCTTAAAAATTTCCATATAAACATTTTTTAACAAGATAATGCCCTTGAGATGGTTTATGGAATTTGATTCCAAGAAGTATTCCATTAAAATGTTTGAGAGGGATTCTGTGTGTGTGACAATTCATATTCACTATATAGAAAACTTACAGTACAGAAACCTGCTTAACTTTAACTCATAGTTCTTAAAATTGCTTGAATTCACAACTTTCTATATTTCCTTCAACAATCTCTAAATAGCATCTATACTTCAAGGAAGTATAGTTTAATAATAGTTACTAAGAACTTTAATGTACCTTATATAAACAATAAATAGTTGATGGTCTAGCTCCTTGAATAAAAATAATTAAAACCTACACTTTGACTACCTTCTGTAGATTACCACTCTCAAACCTTGCTTCAAACATCAAAGTGTTGTCACAGGAATCCACAGGTTGCTTCAAGGGTGTTCGGTTGCCCCCAACTCGAGAATACACAAAACAGGGCTCTTTATAAGCTGATGAGAGAAGAATACCACAGCGATGTCAAGACATGCCTATAGTATGCAGGCATAGAATATGGATATAGTATATGGCCATACCATTTTGTGCAAGCCAGATCTCATCTAAACTAGGAAGAATGTGAAGCAATAGTACAAGGACTGTAAATTCTAAAGTATTTGACACTAATTTATATAGATTTATGTTGAAGTAAGAGAGTCTACGACTATTTAGACTAGAAAGGCAATTTCTGAAATAAATTTATATATTTCTCACATTAAAAATATTCATTCTAATTCTGGTCATGATGAAGGAATTGGCCCTAAACTTATCCTTTCACTAAATAATTATAACACTGGACAAAAAATAAGAGCAGTTGTCATGCATTTGAATAACCAAAAAGAACAGAATTACATAGGGTCATTGAAAGAAGATAAATACATGAAGCTAGCCTGTGTTTAGCCCGGGTCCTTTTTGGACTACAGCCTAGGGATGTGGCAAGATTGCTGAGGAGGCAAGATTGGTTATCACTTGGGGCTGTTGAAATTTGTGAGTTAAGAAACTAGAGAGAAGAAAACTACATAGAAGGAGAGCCTAAGCAGTCTATATAGTGGTTTCTTAGTACTTGGCATAGGTTCTGGCTACACAATCAAAGGATGTGACTAAGAAAGATAGGAGAGATCACTATTGCACGTGAAAGAATGTATAATTCGGGATATATTGGAATTTCAACTTATCCAGAGTGGAAAGATTTTGTGGAACACATTAGCCATTCAACTGCAACTCCAGAAGGGCTATACCTTAGGCATAAGGAACATGACCAAGAGTAAAATGAAATAAACCTGTCTTTATAAAAAATAAGACCAAGCCCGAAAGAAGCAAAATAATCTGCTAGCAATTTAACTGCCTACCAGAACAAAACTTGACATAATTAAAAAAAATAGATTTCCTATAACATATCTTTTATAATGTCCTGCATATGATAAAAAATTACAAAGTATTCAGAGAAGCAGGAAAATGAGTCCATGGAGATCCCCAAATAACCCAAATGTTGGTGTTGAAATTAACAGAGAACTTTGAATATATTTTCAAACACTTAAAGGAAAAGATAGAGATAATGAGAAAACAGATAAGAAATCTCAAAAAAAGAAAGGGATACTAAAAATAAAAAAAGAAAATTCTAGAAATAAAAATTGCAATAACAAATGAAAGATTTATTAGATGGGTTTAGGATTTAATTATTTCACATTGTATTCATAAATCATAACATCACTTTGTACCCTATGGATATATACAACTCTACTTTGTCAATTTACAATTAAAATAATTTTAAAAAGAAAAAAATGGTTAAAGATTGCAAAAGAAAGAATCAACAAACTAAGGACAAATACAAATGATCCAAACTGAAATATAGAGAAGGAAAAAAAAGAATAAATATCCAGTGACGTGTGGGACATGTCTAGAAATCCAACATTATATAATTGGAATTTCAAAGGACAGGAGAGGAAGAATGGCATAAAAAAAATATGTGAAGAAATAATGGCTGAAACTTACTCAAATTTGGGGGCAAAGTCCCTATTAACCAATGGATCTAAGATGTTTTACAAGCTCCATCAGGTTAAATATACAGATAACCAAAACTAGAAACATCATAGTCAAAATGCTGAAGATAGCCAGGGAGAAAAAGACACATCACATATCAATGGTTTCTAACTTATGATGGTTTGACTTAAGGTTTTTCAACTTTTATAATGGTGAGAAAGCAATAGGGATTCAGTACCCTCCTTAACTTATAATGGGGTTACATCTGGATCAACTCAGACCCAGATCCCTAAGTCAAACTTAGGATATTTTCAACTTTCAGAGGGTTGATCAGTACAAACCCTGTTGCAAGTTGAAGAAAATATGTATAGGGAACTGTCATACAAGCATACTATGTTCTATTGTGCTTCACAGATATTGTGTTTATTTATTTTTCGAGACAGAGTCTTGCTCTGTTGCCCCAGCTAGAGTGCAGAGGGAGTGTCATAGCTTATCCACCTGAGTAGCTGGGACTAACAGTATGTGCCATTACTCCCTGCTAATTTTTCTATTTTTTGTAGAGATAGGGTCTTGCTCTTGTTCTGGATTGTCTAAAACTCCTGAGTTTAAGCAGTTCTCCCACCTTAGACTCTCAGAGTGCTGGGATTATAGGTGTTGAGACAATGCACCTGGCCCTATACTATATTTTGTACAAATTGATAGTTTGTGGCAACCCTGGGTTAAGCATATCTATCAGTACCATTTTTCTAACAGCAGAAGCTCACTTTGTGTCTCTGTGTCACATTTTGGTAATTCTTGCAATATTTCAAATTTTTTCATTATTGTGTCGATTATGGTAGTTTGTGATTGGTGATGTTTGATGTTGCCATTGTAATTGTTTTGGATATATAAACTGCACTCATATAAGATGGTGAACTCAACATGGAAATGTTGTGTCTATTCTAAGAGCTTCACCAACCAGCCAGCCATTCCCCCATCTTTTTCCCTCTTCTTGGGCCTCCCTATTCTCTGAGACACAACAATATTGAAATTAGGCCAATTAACAACCCTACAGTTGCCTGTAAGTCCTCAAGGGAAAGGAAGATGCCCACAACTCTCACTTTAAAAAGCTAGACATGATTAAATTTAAGTGAAGACATCATGTTGAAAGCTGAGATAGGCCAAACAAAAGTTAGGTCTCTTATACCAGTTAGCCAAGTTGTGAATACAAAGAAAAAATACCTTAAGGAAATTAAAAGTGCTACTTCAGGGAATGCACAAATGATAAGAAAACAAAACAACCTTATTTCTGATAAAGGAGAAAGTTTCAGTAATCTGGATCAAACCAGGCACAACATTCCTGTAAGTTAAAGCCTAATCCAAAGCAAGGCCATGAAGGCTGAGAAAGGCAAGGAAGCTGCAGAAGGAAAGTCTGAATCTAGTAGAGGTTGGCCTATGAGGTTTAAGGAAAGAATCCATCTTCATTAACATAAAAGCACACGGTAAAGTAGCAGGTGTTGATGTAAAGGCTGTGGCAAGTTACCCAGAAGATCTAGCTAAGATCACTGATGTGGTTGTTCTCTACACTGAACAACATATTGTCAGTGGAGGAAACAGTCTTTTATTGGAAGAAGATACTATCTAGGACTTTCACAGTTATAGAGAAGAAGTCAGTGTGGCTTCAAAGACACAAAGGACAGATTAACTCTCTTGTTAGGGCTGAATAAAGCTGGTGACTTAAAGTGGAAACCAAGGCTCATTTGCCATTCTGAAAATCCTAGGGCCCTTCAGAATTATGCTAAATCTACTCTGTCTTTATGGATAAATGACACATCAAAGCCTGAATGACACCACATATATTTACAGCATGGTTTAATCGAATATGTTAAGCCCACTGTTGCAACCTACTGTTCAGAAAAAAAGATGTTGAAATGTTACGACTCACTGACAATGTACCCAGTCACCCAAGAGCTTTGATGGAGATGAACAAGGAGATTAATGTTTTCATGCCTACTACCACAGCATCCACTCAGAGCCCCAGAACAAGGAACAATTTTGACTTTTGAGTCTTACCATTTAAGAAATACATTTTGGAAGGCTATAGCTGCCATAGATGGTGATTCCTCTGATGGACAAAATAAACTGCAAATTTTCTGAAAAGTATTCACTATTCTTAATGCCATTAAGAACATTTGTGTTCTTTTTTGTGTTCCTTTATGGGAGGAAGTCAGCACAGCAACATTAAAAGAAATTTGGAAGTTGATTCGAATCAGCTCAGGACTTCAGTGGGGGAAGTAACTGCTAATATGGTAGTAATAGCAAAAGAACTATAATTAGAAATGCAGCCTGAAGTGTTAAGTGAATTTCGGCAATCTCATGATAAAACTGAAATGGATGAGGAGTTGCTTCTTGTGGATTTCATCTCCAGTAGTTTCTACTCCTGGCAAAGATTCTAGACTCTGATAGGAATGACTCCAATTTTGAAAGATGTTCTACTGTGGGTAAAATGCTATCAAGCAGCATCACATACTACAGAGAACTCTTTCATGAAAGAAATAGTCAATTGATGTGGCAAACTTCATTGTTACCTTTTTTAAAGAAATTGTTACAGCTACTCCAATCTTCAGCAACCACCATCAGTCAGTAGCCATCAACAATGAAGCAATAACCTCTACTAGCAAGAAGAATGTAACTTTCTGAAGGCTTGGATGATCATTAGCACTTTTTTTTAGCAATAAGGTATTTTTAAATGAAGGAATATACATTCTTTAAGATATAATGCTATTATTGGATACTTAATAGAATGCAACATAGTGTAAACATAACTTTTATATGTGCTGGAAAACAAAAAAAATTGTGTGAATAAAATTGTATGAATAAGTAAATAAATATCACTTTTTTGCAACATTCAGAGCTATTTCTTTCACTCTAGTTATTTAAAAATATTTATGTGAGTAATGATTTCTAGAATTGCTTACTGTTCAAGAAACCATCCCTGTGAATTGCTGTATGTCTTGCTAGCCCCTTAGGTAAAATACATATGCTTCCCTGGAAGTTATATTTAATATATGAAACACTCTAAGATATTGAACTCTGATGGCCAAATTGTGCAGGAGTCCCATACTTTCTCACATGGGTGCTGCAGGAGCAGTACAATTTTGGATATACCCTGAGATGTCTGTTTGATTATTAGCATACTCTATCATAAATGAAAACATAAGATTTTGCACTAATAGAGTGATCAAAGTGCAAATATGAATTCAAATAAGAATGAGTGCACTTTGCACTGTAAGTGTTAAGAATGCTTTCCTGAGATATAATCTTAGATGTTTTTTGCCATATGGGGTATTTTCTTCTCTTTTAAAGATGACAACCCCAAGAAATGCATCAAACAGGCATGAAATTAAAAGAAAAACATCTGAACAAGTTCATGAACAGGTGGTGTAGGTGGGGCATGAAATTACAAGAAAAACAACTGAATAAGTACATGAATGTGAGCTGTAGGTGGAGAGGGAACAATTGTTTCAGAGCACTCCACTGAATTTATTTTTGAAAATTGACGTGAAGCATAATTCATTCTAAATATAACTCTCCATTTTAACTGTTTAACTGTTTAACTGTTTAACTTTGCATAAACTAAAGTACACCTTCAAAAATGTAATTAGCACTAAGTCAACGTTTGGATCAATATGTAACCAAACATCTTTATGGAGACAGGAATTTCCTGGTAACACTAAATTTCTCCTGTAAACAGCAAAAGAAATATAACTAACCTGTTATATTAGGTATATTAGGTATATTATATACCTGTTAACCCAGGTAACAAACAATATTTTACAGCAACGTTTCTCATAATGTACCCACCATCTTCAGCTAGATAAACTATAGTATCTTCCTTGGAGTCTGGATAAAGGGGTTCCATTTCTAGGCCTGTTGGGATATACACTGGCTCAGGATAAGAAGGAGTCCAATCTGGGAAAAAAAAGGGGCGGGGCAATAAAGTTATTTGAATATGATTTCAAAATAAAATAGGAAAATTTTATTATATATTTTCAAATTATTCATTGGTAGGTCTAGACCAAAATAAATATTTTATGGTGGAGCTAGATTTTATAAGGGTTCATTGGCAGTAATAATGAATGGGGTCA